TTGTGGCGCATAATATATCAATTAGCAGCAGTTTTTATTTTATTTTTTTCATTAGCAAAGATAATAGCAAAACTGAGCTGTAGTGTTGTAGGAAACATAGACAAAGAAGACATCGGAACGTGAATTTCCATTTGCTCTTGTTTGCATACAAAATACTGTTGCTGCAGTACAGCCTTCTGGAACAGGAAGTTAGAAAAGTGACAGATGAGAGTTCGTATTAACAACAGCAACACAGAGTCGTGACAATAAAGAATGAATTGAATCTAACGATTAAGTGGGAATGAATGGCAGTCACGAGCCTTTGCTGGCCTACTGAATAAGACGGAGAACAGGCACAAGGGGAGGAGCACAACAGAGTACATGTGCAATGCTTATTGGATATGCAGGCATCATAACATTGTCTGAATTGGCTTTGTATGAGCACCTAGTGGTCTGGGGTACCTTTCCACTGACAGATTGTGTAAAGAAACATACAATACTGCTGTCCTAAACTGAATCAAAATTTGATAAATATGTTAATAAAAAGCAGAACTACTTATATCCTTGAATTGAGAAATGCCTGGAAAATATTGTCTGTTGGACTTTGTTGTTTGATTTCCCTTCTCATATTTGTCTAAATCCACCAGGGTCCTGTCTTAGTCTTTCATTTTGAGACCAATGCCAAGCCCGTCAGAGATTAATCTGACAAATTGTTTCTTTTTTGGGCTCTTGTTTTTCATTAAACCCCCACATGAGACCATAGCGTTGCAATGAAGTAGAAGCCCAACACAGGTAGTTGAATGCCTCAAAGGAAACGGTCAGTGTTATTTGTATGCCATGTAAACAAAAGGACGATGTATTTTAGTTGGCAGCTGACAGATTTGCTAGCTTAACGTAAAAGAGAGTTTACACAATTAGCAGTAAAGAATACTTTATTTATTAGAAGATAAACTTACAAAAATATAGTGGTGGTGTTGGCATAGAGCACAGAAATAAAAATCACACAGCTGAAACTGAATGTCCACCTGCGCTTGTTAGCACACAAGCTAGCATTAGCACCGCAGACAAGCTACCTGCAGCAGGAAGTTGGGACAATATCAGTGGCTTCAAAGTGAGGCTGAATTAAGTTAAACTCATGTCCACATAAACATGTAAAGTGAATGAAATAAGCATTTTTCAATATTAGTGTGAGTACTTTATGATTGCTGACACTTAGCCACCATGATATATAAAGGTATATTTGGCAAAGTATGCTCCACATAAGTCTACAAAGAGAAAAAACATCACTTTTTTAATGGCAAGTAACTGAAAGGCATGATCTACTGGTATTTCCAATGAAGAATACCAGAGGCGGATCTTTCCCAGTGGAATAAAAAAAAACCCTTCTGCTCGGCTAGTTTTTACGCTTAGTTCTTCCCTGTCAACATGGACCCATTTGGGTCTCCCAATTTGAAATCTATCCCTAACTGGGGAGTAATCTGACAAATTGGTTCTAAGTTATTAGTCTCTTCTTTTTCATTTGCCTCAAACCCCAGATGAAGTCATAGCGTCGCCGTGAAGTAAATGTCAGTAGATGCCCATTGGAATGCAGTCGGATTAATATTTGAAGTCGAATGCCTCAAGATAAACAGTCGGTGCCATTAAACCGTAGCAAAAGACAGGAGAGCAAATTTCTGGAAAATTAAGTGAAAACAGTGATGGAAATATGATATTTCTATAAAGTTCACCCAGCTGATTATCATATAGATGACTGAAGACAATTTAAAAGAATACACAAAATGACTGCAGCCAGCTCGCGTAATTGCGACATGCTGAACGTGGTTCTATTGGTATGTAGATGAGAGAATTTGGATAATATCCTACGCTGTATTACACGTAGAATTTTCTATGTTTTTCTTTATATGTGAGAAGACAAAGGGCAAACAGAAACCATCTTTGCACCTACTGTTTATTTTTCTCTATGCCAAAGACCTTTGGGGTACTGTTGTTTCTGCCTCGCACAGCAACAAAACAGCTTAATAATAATAGGCTGTAAACATATCATATAATGCACGCACACGGGCAAGCAAGTGCACATGCATTCTTAATCCAGTGAAAGTCTTAAAATATAATATCCAGTGGTGTGTGTGTGTGTGTGTTTTCTCTCAGAACAGAACAGTAACGACAAAAAAACAAACCACAGCTGGCCTGGTTAATGAAGTATGGATTTCCACTTGTCGTGAAACCTGGTTGGGACTGGTTGAGATCTTTCCAGGACACAGAAAACAGGTCACAAAAACCCGGGGGTAACAAGTAATCTTGAATGATGATTTAATGTTGACTGAAACATATATAACTTCTATTGTAATGAGAGTTTAAAAGCAATAAGAAAATCCTGTATTATTATTGATGTGATTAAAAACCAAAGTAATCCTTACTTTAAAAATGTACTATTGATTAAGGTGATGAGTTATGTGAGCTTAAGTTAAGAAGTAAATGGAAAATAAATCATAAATGAGTATTTTGGTTCAAGTTGGATGGAAAGTCCCGTACTGTATTGCAATCAGAGGCTGTGTGAGAAGGAGAGCTGGAGAGCTAATTTCCCTCTTTTCAGAATGGGAAGTAGAGAGAGAGAGAAGAGGGGAGGGGGATGTTGCGCAACAACACACTACAGGATTTCACAAAAAATAGAGCACAATAAAGACAAAAACAGCAAACTGTGCTTTGTGTTTATGTGGGTTAACGACATCACAAGAGGCACTAGGGCTGAGCTGATCAGCTGATGTCGAATGAGCAACTTCTGACAGATTCTGACGTTGTGCTTCAGCAGCATTCGGTTACGACGGGGTTCGGTTTTACCTGTCTGAGTCGGAGTTTGACTCCGATGACCCCCAGGCCACCATGGACGGACGGTGGAGCAAATGGGAGACGATGGCGATATTTAGCTTACACCATACACCATACTGGTGTAAATCTGTTTCTATTCTTGTTGATTCTAATTGGTTTCTGTGCATATTCACTACTCATAAAATGTACTTGTAAATGCCAAATTCTGACAGAAACGCCTTTATTTGATTTTCCAGTGAAAAACACAACTTGCAGTGTAAACTGCTCTTGCTAGTTCAACAAATTTCCTTTGTTCCAGCTACCTGATGATAGGATTATTTTCACATTTCTTCTCTGTTGTGTTTGTTAAAGCGATGATGATGGGATGAGTTGAACTGCAGGTGAATGGAGGTAGGGGCTAACTGGTGGGATGGGGCTCCTAAAAAAGTAAATTTCGACTGAAAAAGTCACCAGGAACGCAACATATCTGCAGAAAGTATGCTTATTAAATATTTTTTTTATTTCCAAGGACTAGACTTAACGGTTTTACATATTTTAAGATTGATCGCTGTAGATCTTTGATAATGACTTTGTAGTTTTCACAAACCGCTTTCATGTCGTGATTTGTCACGTAATCCACACTTTTGCCTCCAATGTTTCGTTGATGCAAATTACAGATCTCCAAAGGAGGAGTTTAATTTTAAACAAGAACAAGAGAAAATCACAAATACCTTCTGTGATGTCACACCACAGGCACCCGCTCGGAAGCTAGTCTTTAGGAGTCCGTTTCATCTCAAACAAATAACTCACAACAGCAAAAATACAACACCTGACCACAAAATACCCCACAAATTACATCTAAAGGGAGATGAAGTTGTTCCACGTAGAAGTCTGGCCCCGGGTTTCCCTTTAAAGGAAGCCCTCCTTCAGGCTGTTTTCGAAGCGAGTGTAAATTTGGGTCAGTGAGCGCGAGAGGCCGGTGCGGCCGAGGAGCCACCGATCACATCCCGGCCATCAGTGGAAGGTGCAGCAGCACAGAAAACACTGAGCACATTCACAGAGCAGCGTGAGCAAACACTGGCATCAAAATGAGGCGTGGGCTTGCTTTCACTGGGGTAGCAGTTACAATGGGGGCCTCGGGCTCTCATGAATTATTATTCAAACACTCCACAGAGGGCAAGACCCTTATCTGTCAATAATCATCATATTTGTTGTTTGTCTTTTCTTCTTTTTTCTTTTTTGTTCCACTGGTGCTCCAGTCACCTGGCAACATGCACCTCTTCTCAGACTCATCAGTTTTGCTATTTGGACTAATTGGGACTTCATCCCGTGCTAGAGACAGAGTGAAATTAGCATATCAGCTATAATCACAAAAGACAGTCTGCATCACTGTGTCCTCTGGGCTGTTAGAACACCATCAAACAAATCTTTTTCTTTTTTTTCTTCCTGCAGATATACTGAGATAAGACTGAATAACGAGGCACCATTCTCAGTTTCACCTGTAGGAGAAAAAAAAAAAAAAAAAAAGAAGCCCAGCTCGAAATGCATCCAAGGGGATACTATAAATAAAACCATCTGATGGCATGCCTCGAAGAATAGAGAGATTTTTTTTTTGACCTTGCGGTACAAGTGTGCTGTCATGAGAATCCCTGTCACATTCAAATGAGAACTACTTCAAGTCTCTCCCTCTCCCTCTCTCTCAAAAAAAAGAAAAAAAAAGATGAAAAGAGTTCAAATCCGCGATATAAAATCTTCAAATTTACCTTGCAAATGAAACATCAAGCCCAGTCAGAGGAGGCTGGCTGCGATCTTATTTCCTCCCAGGAGCTCTGCTGGCATACTGAGGAGCGGCTCGCCTAAAATGGGACCGACGGCGCCTCTTGGAGATATTTCAGGTAGCTATCCCAAAGCATGCGTCTTGGCTCCTATAATGTGTGACGGCCTGCGAAACGAGCGATGCCCTTCAAGAAATCCATACCCGGCGGATAAAGGGCAATTCCTCCTTCCAGCGATCCTCTCGCATTAGATAACACTCAGAAAGAAAGAAAAAATGTCTTCATTTTTAGAAGGAGGTAAAACGGAGGGGGGTGTGGGGAGAGAGGAGGAGAGGGACAGAGAGAGAGANAGAGAGTGGGGGGGCGCAAACTGCGTGAGGGGTCCCGGTGTGGATCGCCTCTACTGCGCATCCAGAGGAGGAGAAAACGCCTATTTTTTTGTAGGCTTGCTTTAATACGTGGCGCTGGGTGGCTGGTGTTGCGCTCAATCCGACCAGATGTTCGTCTCGCTTTCACGGGCTTTTTTTTTTTTTTCTCCCAGTCCGCGACGCAGGGGCTCAGTCAGAAGCGACTTAATCCAGACTGACAGAGAGCTTTCTGCCGTTATAGGCGGTGTAGTCCCCGCTTTGCCCCCGGACCGCTGTCTGCCACCGACCCGGCTCCATTTCTTGACCAGCAGCAGCGCTGTGCCCGGAATGGTAATTCGTGCGCTCCGAGCCGCACAGAGACCATTTGTGTGCAGCAGGCAGATGCAGCAGCAGTAGAAGCTCGCAGCCTATCTCGCAGGCAGGCATCATAATTTATTCATGTAGACTGAACTACTGCTGCACGAAAAGAAAAAAAGAAAAAAGAAAAAGAAAGATAGAAAGAAAGAAACGCAGCGGACCTGGAATCTGTGAGCGTTTATAAAAAGAAAGCTGGGTTGTCGATCAGATTCACACGTACATGAGATGAAACATGAGTCGAGCTGTATTGAAAATCCATCAGTTTCTTTTGCATGAAATCTTTGCCTGTGTTTTTCCTTTCTTTCTTTCTTTCTTTCTTTCTTTCTTTCTTTCTTTCTTTCTTTCTTTCTTTCTTTCTTTCTTTCTTTCTTTCTTTCTTTCTTTCCTTTTATTCATGGACAAACCCCAAAATAGCAGCCTGTAAAGCTGAACACTCCCTTATGTATTCAATAGATTTTTTTGGGCAAGAAAGTGTTGAGTTGGCTAAAACACAGAGGCCTGGCTCCCCGAGGGTCTACTTGGCACGGAATCCATCATTATCTGATGCACCCACTCCGTAGCCTTTTGTGCAAGTTGGCAAAGTATGGGCCTTAAGTGCATAAGTTGACAGTAAGGTAGCTGTCTTGAAGTGTTCCCCCCTCCGTTCTTCAGTTTTTGACAGGAAAAATATCCACCTTTGATCATCAACAAACATTTCTTTCCATTTGCCTTTGCAAATTGCTCAGACTGAGTTGAGGTGGATCGCTAAAGTGTGTCATTTTCAGTTCTTAGCTCCAATTCTCAATGTGGACTTTGAGTAGGACATCCTATTTCTTGAATATGCTTAGATCTAAACAACTAGTTAAATGACAGTGTGGGTTTTCTTCCAGAAAGCTTCATTCATCTTCTCCATGTCTCTAAAAGTTGCTGCTTCCAACAATGGCTTTCTTCTTGACTCCTTCTAATAAAGACCAGACATTTGGAGTTGCATGGCTAATAATCTCCCAGCATAATTTATATTGATGAAGGAACAAAAATCTTCCATTTTAACAATGCAAAGCTGCAGCTCAAAAGTAAAAATGTGGGAAAAAAATTGCAATGTAACAGCATAAATATCGCCAGGCAATAATTTGCTGGGTCAAATGTTCCAAGTGTTATGAGCCCACACCTTGTCAGTGTCATTTTCTGCTTGCTGATGAAGAGTGTCACAGCCATAGATGTCCACACCTGACACGGGTGACAGTCCCCAAGGTGCCAAAAGTCACACAGAGTGCTGGATGCACAATGAGAAAGAGAGAGAGAGAGGGAGAGAGACAGACAGGAAAGTGTCACAAAATCATCATCACAATGTTTACCTTTCTACATAATTCACCAATATTGTCCTAGCCTAGTTGAAATGTTAACAGCTAATCAAACATGACTTTTAATGTCTTTCTTGTATAGTTGTAATATGTACAGGGCCGGATTTAGAAGGATGTGGGTCCCTGGGCCGGAGCCAGTGTTGGTGCCCTATCCTTAGTTAGATTGATGCAGGTTTGATACATCCCCTGGTTAACAGCTTCATGCTGTTACATAAAAATTAAGCTACACACAGGTTGTGATTAGGCAAATTTAGAAGGAAATGGATTTAATTTAGGGGTATCAGATTAAAAGAAGCCAATTAGTAAAATATTTGTCGATTTTAAAAACCATGTGTCATTTTCTTTTAATAAAACTCCAACACAACACATTAAAGTCAGTCTGACGAAAATGTGACAAACCTTTAATAGGGCTAAATATTTTTACAAGAGTGTTTTCAGAGAACAACGATTGAGTCGCCACTAATGGGGCTTTCTGTGAAACAGCCATTTGTTGACATCATCCTGAAAATTACCCCAAGGATCGCCAGGAATCAATTAACTAATCCAGTTCCTTGACATACACTCAAGATCAATGAGAATTACAGGTGGTTTGGGGATTTCTCCACAACCAGGCTGGCAGGAGCCCCTTTGATCAGTTGATTTGTGCTGTTTTACGTTCGCAAAATCTGATGGATAAATCTGGGGGGAAAAAGAAAAAAATGCAGTCAGTCTTTGTTGTTTCACACATTTCGTGAGATCACCCACTACTCGGTAAATTTCCAGCGGCTCATTCCTGTTTGAAGCGATTTTAAACACACGCAGACAGCCAGCAGAAAGCGCACTTGAAAGGTTCCTCTTTTTGTTTATCGGCCGCACTGACAACAGTGGCATTTTGCTGCTGGGAAGTGTTAATGTCAGGACCCGTCTCTGACCTACTGTAAGTGTCTCATCTGTGTCATCAGATGAGACACTGATGTGAAATGACACAGAGATGCTTTTGTTTATATATATTTACATATTTTTTTTTTTGCTCTTTATTGTTGGTTTTCCTCGTTCTCGTCCTCGTCGTCCTTGTTCTCGTCGTCCTTGTTCTCGTCGTCCTTGTTCTCGTCGTCCTCGCTCTCGTCGTCCTCGTTCTCGTAGCCCTCGTTCTCGTCGTGCTCTGACTCGGGCTCCGGGGTGTAGTCCGGGTCTTCCAAGTAGTACAAAAACTGCTGGTAGGTGAGGGAGTTAGTCCATTTTCCCGTGCGGCTCTTTACTTCCAAGAACAGGGCCACGGTGTCCCGCCGGGGGTCAGCGATGCTGTTGTTCCACGGGGTCTCTGTGATCCCCAACAGCACACGTACGCAAGCGGAGATGACCTGCAGTACACACAGCAGGGAAGAGACGTTTGAAAATGCAGGCTTTACACGGTTTAAATCTATTTAATAAAGCAGCCCCCCCACAGAGGGAATGGAGGGACCAGGAGGCCTCATAACCACAGGGAAAAGAAACATTTTCTCTCAGTTTAGTACATGGACTTACACAAGTGAATCCTTAGGCAATGCACAAAGTCATACTTCTTGGACTTTTCCACATTTAGTCACATCACATTGACAAACTTTGGTATGTTTAGTTGGGAATTTAATGTGACAGGCCAATGCAAATAAAATCTGCAAAGTGTGGTGTCCATAGTTTTTGTTTTTTTTTAATTAGCTTTTTCGCTAAGATGCAAAATTCTCCAAATAAAATAACACGACATGATGCATCTAACTCGATACAGACAACCACCATGGTGGAGAATAGAGTTGGCAGCTTGACGGTGAGGCAAAGGTGGATAGATAGACTGCAGAGTTTGTGGAAGGATGAATGGAGGTAAATACAGAGAAATTCAGGAGATTCGCATTCCGGTATGATTGTTAACTTGCAGCCAGAACTGCAATAAAATGGCGTAGATCAATTTGTTTGCTCGAATGGCCCAATCAAAATCAGAGGCAAGATTTGCCCACTGATGCTTCCTGTCCATTCAGACTAAAGTTGAGCTGCTATCCAAAGAAGGATGGGCAGAAATTTCAGTCGCCATATGTGCAATACCCCAAAGGTTTTCAAATATTATAGCAACATAAGTTGGATCTTAAAACGTTGACTCAGGTCGGCTTAATAAAGCTGCACGTCACACTTTTAAAACATGAATATTTTCCTTCCACTTCACAGTTTTGCACCACTTTATCCACCACATAAAATCTCAATATAAAGTTTAAGATTCTGATGTGAAAAAATGTGAAACAAATTAAGGAGATATTGATATGTATGCAAGGAGCTATACATATAAACAATGAAAGCATATGCTGGGAATTTCTTCGTGGAATTTCACTGTCTTTTCATTGTCAGCTCACACAGCCCAACAGCTTATCCTTAAAACTATTCTTAGCAGAGTTGACTGTATAGGCATTGCTGCTAAAAGAAAAAAAAAAAAAAACTCTGGTTACAGCATTAATTGGATGCCACGTATGCAAAGAAACAGAGTCGAGCAGGATGTGTGATAGTGCCAAGCTGACACTAAGACACCTGAATATGGCTACCAGTGCACTCAGAGGAGACTTGTAATTGTTTGCTGAGATTAGACTAAATGATATGGGACGCATTGATGTTTCAGCATTGACTAATAAAGTGCACTTAGGAGTGCCGTCATTAATATTATATTGAATCAACTCTGCCAGTTGAAATTCATCTGATGGGAGAGTATTATCATATAAACACGCTCTTATAATGACACAAATGTTGCATGCTTTTCTGCCTATTATCGATACCAGCATGTCTCTGAAATCCGTGATTCCAAGTTTTGGCAAGTTGTTACAGTTGACATGTATGAGCTTCTTTCCAGTGATGAAATTCTCGGTGAAACAAGCCTGCAACAGAAATAAAGTGCCAGAGTTTAGAGACTTAATAGTGTTAATCCATTAGAAAGTTAGCTGAACTTGATCAACATTTCCTTACTTTACAGTGAAGTTATTTGGTTTTAGCTAAGGTTTCACCTACTTTGTATTTTGAAAATCCTATAGACTCAACCCACTTTGCAACATCTTCAGTGTCCCACTTCAGGAACTCCATATCGCCTCTGAAAATGTTGCTATGGAAACGGTTGGATACGTGAGCGTTAAGATAGTATTTGCGGCAGCAATGGCAAATAGTAACATATTTACAAAAATATTGGATTCGTAGACTTTAAGAAATTTGATCTAGCTAATATTTCAACTAAGTAAAACTAAAATCGAAATCCTAATTCAAGCAAATCGCATAGAAATCAACAAACTTTAGCTTGTTTGGATCCACATCCAATCAGCGCCTTCTTATTTTACAGCTTTAAAAGCCGTAGAGTGATTGGTTGTTAACGATTTATGTCCCGCCCTTATGTAGAGAAAGCAGCGAATGGGCGCAAAGTATGATTTTCACAGATCAACTAATCATATGCGGCCCGCCTTTTCGCTTGTAACGCGTGTAAATGTATTGTAGATCTGTTAAATTCCAGGTCCTCTGCAAAGCATTGGAGATAAAGTTTCCTTCTCACTGTGGGTCGGTTCAAGGAAAAATAGATACCTGACTCAATACAATGGCAGCGCTTGTCCTCCGGTCACTGTTACACAACAAGGTAAAGCTCGTATTAATACAAAAGTTTGCTTTTTAATGCATGTTTAGCTTATCGAGGCTAAGAAGCTGTTTAGCTAACAAAGTCATGCTCCTTAGACCTTCACTCCTCTTATCCTAGTTTTAGATAATTAGGTTTCATGTAGCTACTACATGTGGGTAATAATTACAAACCTGTGATTTATTCAGAAGAGACTATTATTGTTTCGGTAGTTTTTTTGGCGATAAATGAAGTTTAAGCTGGTTAATGTGTACTGGTTTTCCTTCAGGCTCCTCTGCAGCTTGGTCGCTTGTGCTACTCCTCTTCCTCAGTGGTAAGCTGTGACACTGACACCCAGCTGTTGCTATAACACAGAAATAAAACCGACATTACTGCCCAGTTAACCTAAAAAAAAGAAAGAAGCATTTTTGACCCCCTTGGCACCAAAGGTTTCCATCAAGTTTGTGTGAGAACTGACATTGCTGTCTGTGGAAGAATTTTGACCCACTCTTCTTTGCAGAATTGTATTAATTCAGTCACGTTAGCAGATTCTCAAGCATGAACGACTTGTTTAACATCATTTCATTGCTTCTCAACATGACATACGTTCCAACTTTGACTAGGCCATCAGAACCTTCCTTTTCTTTCTGCTCTTTCACCAACATGTTTGGCTGTTGGTATAAATGCTTCCTGCAGTTTTACTCAACATCTAACAGGATGTTCGCCTCCTAAAACGTCCCATAATTGTCTTGTCTGTATACAGAATTCTCCCATCAGTCTCTGCCATCATCCAGATGTTTTCTTTTTAGAAAACAAGAGACGTGTCTCTGTGTTGTTTTTGGTCAGCTGTGGGCTTCTGGATCGTGGAGGTTCTCTGGAGTCACAAAGCATTAGGAATGGATTTGTAACCTTTCCTGGACAGAGAAATGTCAGTGACTTTGTCTCTCCTGTGGGCCTGAAATTATTTAGATCGGGAACCTGATGTGTTGCTTTTTAACATCTTTTCACCGACTACATGTGGTCAGACGCGACCCGTAAGTGGTTTTCTGATTACGACTGGCTTTATCTAATATAAATATTTGTTTCATGATGTGGGACATTTAAGTATGACAGATAAGCCAACAGGACAGCAACAGATGCTGGCAGATACTTTTTATTGCCCTGCACACCTTGCAACAGACCACTCCATAATAGAAAAGCAGCACTATAAATATCTGCTGCATCAAACAATCAATGCAGCAAAGATGCATCTTGAGTCAAATGCTTCATCAGATCAAATCAGTTTACATGTTCTTGTTTACTTAATTGTGTACAACTTAGCGAGACAGTTTCCCTGGGGTCTTCCAATACTATTCTGAAAAAAAAAAGAAAGAAAAACTTTGAGGAGATGAAATACAAAATATAAACAGCAATGTTCAAAGTAAGGGTAATAATATCACAGCGGTTTATCAGCTTGAGGCGCAAAGCTGTGTAGCAGTCAGACGGTTCCGCGTTTGATGCTGTTGGTACATTTTTATTTTATTTTTTTGATGGCAATAGTTCAGGGAGTTCATGGTGAGGTTGTGAGACAGAGATAAATAATACATCACAGATTTATTATCCTTACCATAATGTGCAACATTAATAAGGGATTTTACAAGGCTTGTTTGGAAAGCAGTAAGTGTTTAATATTCCAGATGTCAGCAGTTAATTTTCCTGACGCAGATGACGCGTTGCTAAAGGCCACAGAGAGGGTTTAAAATGGCTAAAGTTTAGAGAAAAGTCAAGAAGGAGTGGATTTATCTTGACCGATATCGTCATGGTAATATTTAGCAACAACATCGCTTTCACAAGATTATTTTTGATGTCCCGAACTTCTAATTGGAGGCGTCTTAGTTGTTTTTCGAGCTGCGGCCATGTTGGCTCCGTTCAATCAAAGTTCTTCGTCTTCAGACCTTTTTGCAGTGAAATGACGCGGCGGCGTCAGCTGCTGAGAAAACCTTACGAAGCGATCGAAATGGAGTTCACTTGTTTCATGTAAGTGATTGCTTTGTGCTTGCTGATTGTTTTTCCTTTGTGTCGTTTTATGAAACAATCTTAGGTGATTGTCTGGAAATGCGTGGAAAATTAAATGTATTGTTACCAAGTAAATGCATACGGAAGCACAAATAAATCAAAGTCAGTTTGTCTTTGATTTTTTTGTTTTGTAGGGAAAGCAAAGCTTTTTCTTCCTAATGCATGGTTAGAAACTAATAAGCTGTAAAAGAACTGTACTTTTTTTTTCTCGCCTCGGAAAAACATTCATTGAAAGCTAGTTGGCCAGCCTTTGACTTTATCAACACCTTCACATTTTATACTTGCATAATTGCTGGAAATTAGGATTTATGGAGCTGAACTGCAGCTATTGGGGGAGAAAAAACAACTTTTTTTTTCTAAACAAATTATTTATTTATTGCACTCAATCTAATTAAAAATATTGCATAAATTACGTCTTTAACATTTATTTATTCATAATTCTTCCATCCCTCCAGATGGGCTTTTATGTTTCATTGGCAAATAGAAGCACACAGCTAAAGTTGTAAGTTTAAAATAGGACAGCGACAAAGACCTGGTTTGTTCACCTCTAGCTGCTTTACACTCTTTAATAAAACACGTAGCAGGTAAATAGACACACCATTAAGCCAAATTATTGTGGTCAGCTCAATTAATGGCAGTCAGTCAGCTATGAAAGGCTTCAAGGAGACATTACACTCTCGGCTCACTTTGTAGTGATTGATGGATGTTGTCAGCAGAGTTATTAAGAATGTAATCATGCAGGAAAGGGGCGTTAATTGTACGCTGCTTTTATCTTCCAGCCGACGACCAAACTCTTCATCGATGGCAAGTTTGTTGAGTCCAGCTCGTCTGAGTGGCTGGACATCCACAACCCTGTGAGTGTTCATACAGGCCTGGAAGACACGGCAGTGGTAAAATAACAGGTTATGAAGAGGCTGATGTCAATTTAAATGTGGCAAGAAAACCTGGTGGATGAGGAAAAAGACTTGAGAATGAGGCAGAGTAACGGCTGCAGATATGCAGTCTAAGCTACGATGGAAGGGTTTGGGTTGAGGTGTGAAGTCTGGGTCTGAGTCTTGATCTGTTTTGGAATGAGCTCAAGTTTTCTGGTGTTTAAAGCTGGAACTTCTACATACATGAGTTACAAATGAATGACTATTACTTACATAAAATAAACCATCTATAATTTCCTCTCCACTTCTCAAAATGGAGCGAGCTAACAAAGGCTAGCTAACCAATAACTTTTCAGCAAAATGTAGGTGCTGGTTTTAAGTAAGCAATTCCCTGATATTGGCAAAAATGTACTAGTTTTACTTATAGCATCTGTGTGTCCTTAAAAAAATCTTAAATTCATATATCTCAAATTAAGGCCTGAAAATGTCTTAAATTAACATTGTGTCTTGACATGACTATTTAATTTGGTTCTCTGTGTCAAAGGCAAAGGTTTGAGACGCACATAGATTTCCACACTAAGTGTGACTTTGGACAGTTGAGGCTACTGGTAGCTCACTGCTAACATACTTTGCTGGCTAGCTAGCTTTGTTTTGCTTCTACAATGGGTAAGTGCAAATCCAGTTGGCTGGACGAAGGTTGTGCATTTCTGTGGAGATACAGGTCTTTGATTTGAGATGGTAAAAGCTGCAGAAACCCTGTATAATAAGACATTTCCCCCCATATTATAAGTGAGCTAATCTGCCTGTGGAGCTACTTTTCACCAGAATTAAGGACTTAAAACAAGCTCCTATGTCTGGCGTAAAAAGTTACTTGTCCGTTAGGTTTGTCCTATTTCAGATGTACTCTAGAAACTAGACCAAAAGTATTTGGTAAGGGTTTTTTTTGTTGTTTTTTTTGCAGTGATTCTCAAAATCTGAAAAGCCTCAAGGGGTTTTGTAAGACCCTACATGTGGACAAATTAGTCTCTCCAGTTGCCTTTGTGTTGTTGCTTGATTTGTTAAGCAAGAGAAAAAAGTTTGTAGCTTGTCAAGTATTAGCCTCTAGCTACGCTGTGTCTGATTACTGCCTTGGAACAGATCCATCTCATCACGTAGAAAAACACAAAAGCTGTAAATGACAGGAGAAAAAAACCCCAAACCCTAATCTATTGTTAATATTAATGGAATAATGTCCTGCATTTCATGCCAAGCAATCACTTCTTTTTCTCCCAGTCAGCTCTGAACAGCGTCTCTCCTTCCCCTCAGGCCACTAACGAAGTGGTGGGACGCGTTCCCAAAGCCACTCAGGAGGAGATGCTGGCCGCCGTGGATTCCTGCTCCAGAGCTTTCCGCTCGTGGTCCGAGACGTCCGTCCTCAGCAGGCAGCAGATCTTCCTGCGCTACCAGCAGCTCATCAAGGACAACATTGTAGGGAAAATGGCCGCCTTCTTAGACGGTCATCTCGTCTGCTGAGCTGACCTTCGCGTGTTTTCCTAATGTTTCAGAAAGAACTGGCAAAGCTAATCACCTTGGAGCAGGGCAAAACGCTTGCTGACGCAGAGGGAGACGTGTTCAGAGGACTCCGTGAGTAAAGTGTTCACTTTAGGGCTGGAACGATTAATCGGATTAATCGGCAGCTCATCTAGCAATCGATTAATCGTTAGCTGGAGTATGCAGACTCCAAAAAATCTCAATGCATTCAAAACAGTAATATATATATTTTGCATTTAAAATAAAAACACACTTGTGCATGTAAACATGTGTAGGTCAAAACCCCTCAAATGTTATAGTTTTAGCTTCTCCCGGTTCATATTTGTTAAATGGATGCTGTGGTATTGCATTTTAGGCAAAATAAAGTGTTCTTAGGGTTAGGGGCTAGGGTTTTTTTTTTTTTAAGGTTTTTTTGGCTCTAGTGG